TCAAAATGGATGAAAGAGCAAAATATAAGATAGGAAACCATCAAAATCCTAGAGGAGAAAACACGCAGCAACCTCTTTGATCTCAGCCACAGCAACATCTTACTAGTAGTCATGTCTTCAACGGCAAGGAAACCAAAACCAAAAAATCAACAAAAGGACTTCATAAAATTAAAAACCTCTATGCAACAAAGGAAACAATCAGCAAAACTAAAAGCCACTTCGATGAAATGGGAGAAGGTATTTGCAAGTGACCTATCAGATACAGGGTTAGTATCCAAAATCTGTAAAGAACTTGTCACACTTATCAACCCCAAAACCCCCAAAGAACCCAGCAAAGTAATGGGCAGAAGACATGAACAGACACTTTTCCAAAGAAGACAGTCAGATAGCTATCAAACACATGAAAACATGTCCAATATCACTCATCATCATGGAAATACAAATCAAAACCACAATGAGATACCACCTCACCCCTGTCAGAATGACTAAAACTAACAATTTAGGAAAAAGCAGATGATGGTGAGAAAGGGAAAATATTTTTCACTGTTGGTATTAAAATAGTGTGGAGTTTCCTTAAAAAATTAAAAGTAGAAATACCCCCAGAGCACCTGTGTGGCTCAGTCGGTTAAGATTCTGACTCTTGGTTTCTTCTCAGGTCATCATCTCACAGTTCATAATATCAACCCCTGTGTCAGGCTCTGTACTGACAACAGGGAGCTTGCTTGCAATTCTCTCTTTCCTTCTCTCCCTGTTCCTCCCCTCCCATTAAAATAAATTTTAAAACATTCAAAAAATAGAACTACCATACAAACCAGCAACTGCACTACTACATATTTATGCCAAGGGTAAAAAATGTGGACTTCAAGGGGCCAATGCACCCCAATGTTTATAGCAGCTATATCAACAATAGCCAAATTATCAGAAGAGCTCAAATGTCCATCGACTGAAGGTGTGGTGTATGTATATAAATATAAAATGGAATATTGCTCAGTGACCAAAAAGAATGAAATATTGCCATTTCCAACCGGATGGATGGAACTAGATTATATTACGTTAAGTGAAAAAAATCAGTCAGAAAAAGAAATATATATTATTTCACTCATATGTGAAGTTTGAGAAATGCAGCAGATGAACAAAAGGGAAGGGAAGGAAAATAAGATAAAAACAGAGAGGGGGACAAACCATTAGAGACTCTTGAATACAGAGAACAAACTGAGGATTGCTGGAGGGGGTTGGGTAGTGGGATGTGATAAATGGGTGATGAGCATTAAGGAAGGCACTTGGGATAAGCACCGAGTGTTATATGCAAGTGATGAATCACTGAATTCTACTCCTGAAACCAATACTACATTACATGTTAACTAACCTGAAATTCAATTAAAAAAATAAAAGTAGATTATAGTTATAATAAATGATCCTAAGGGAAATAATTGGGGAAACTTTGACCTCAGAATCTTCTAACAAATGATGATTTCTATGTTACTCTGCTTCAGGAGTGACTATAATTTTCTTGTCATGTAAGTTATCACATGCATTTATGTGGTTAATTCCTTGTAACATATTAATAGTAAACTTTCAATTAGTAAGTTTTTCTCTTCAATGCCCCAAATTTTTTAAACGTTTTTTTTAATATATATTTCTGAGAGAGAGAGAGAGAGACAGTGTGAGCAGAGGAGGGTTGGAGAGAGAGGGAGATACAGAATCTGAAACAGGCTCCAGGCTCTGAGCTGGGTGTCAGCACAGAGCCGAATGCGGGGCTTGAACTCATGAACCATGAGATCATGACCTGAGCCAAGTTGAACACTTAACCGACTGAGCCACCCAGGTGCCCCTTCAACTCCCCTAATATACCCTAAGCATTATAGGAGGGAAAGATATTGGAATTGCTTGAAATTGTTCCTGCCACACCATTGGAATTGATTATGTTGTTACTTGTACAAATTTCCTCTTCTGGAAATTATCAGAATGCTGATTTCTATGGGTAATTTATAATACATTCATTTTTCATGGTTCATTTTTATTTTTAAGGTTTGATTTATATTACCGTTAGTTAATATTTAGTGTGATATTAGTTTAAGGTGTACAATATAGTCATTCAACTCTTCTACACAACACCCAATGCTCATCACAGCAAGTGCACTCCTTTAAAATTGTTTAACTAATCCAGAATATAACTGGTTTTGCAAAAAGTCTATGAATCCAACCTATGTGAGGTTTAATAACTTGCTGATTCACCTGAGGTTTCTGTCTAATTTCTAATAATATCAGAATAAATCCTATTTGAGTAACCAAATAGTATATTTTATGTGCAGGTATATGATGAACCATCCAGTCTTTTCCATAGTTGATAAATTGACATGTATACTCATATTTCATATTTTTACTCTATTTCAACAGGTTAATTGGAACCAAAACCTCAGTTTCATATGAATAAAAAAATAGCTCCTTCCTCTTTAGATGTGACACGGAAGTATTGGGTTAATTCTGCCATCTCATCCTCAAGAGCCAGTAAGAATTCTAATACCAATAAGCATTTTGTCCTGAAGATACTGACATTTCTCTCAACACACTGTAACACTCCTATAACATTATGACTCTAGCTGTGCTTATCAGCCATGAAGCCAGATCATTAACTGTGATGACTGGCCTCCATGATTAAATACTATGGTTTAGTGTGTCTCAGGGTGAAATAACCTGGGGTGTTCAGTGTCTGTCACATGTGTCAAGGTCAAGATTTTTTTTTCTTTCTTATTTTATTGTCAAGTTGGTTTCCATATAACACCCAGTGCTCATTCCAACAAGTGCCCTCTTACATGCCTATCACCCCCCTTCCCCTCACCCACATCCTCATCAGCCCTCAGTTTGTTCTCCGTATTCAAGAGTCTCTCATGGTTTGTCTCCCTCCCTCTCTAAAACGTTTTGTTTACTTCTGAGAGAGAGAGAGAGAGAGAGAGAGAGAAACAGCATGAGAAGGGGAGTGTCAGAGAGAGAGAGGGAGACATAGAATCCAAAGCAGTTTCCAGGCTCTGAGCTAGCTGCCAGCACAGAGCCCAATGCGGATCTGGAACCTACAAACTGCGAGACCATGTCAGAAGTCGAAGTCAGAGGCTTAACCGACTGAACCACCCAGGCGCCCCTAGTGTCAAGATTTTTTTAAGTGTGCCTGAATCAATTATTCTCATTGGAATCTGAACAAAATGAGTGACAAAGTCACTTCTGTGAACTGTCAAGCACAAAAAACCATACTAAGCCAAAATGTGGAAGTGGTTCAGCTTGACCAACTGGTGTTACTAGTAGACTATATTAATTGAATTCTATCCTGATTACATATATTAAGGGTAATGAACTATACAGAGATCTATCAGTTTCTGATTTAGGAATAACATAGCAACTCATTGAGTGCCTGGCTAGCAGCATTCATATATTCATAATAACCAGACACTAGAGACCAGACACTAGGGTTCTGATGTGGGAATCGAACCCACGAACCGTGAGATCATGACCTGAGTCGGACACTTAACCGACTGAGCCACCCAGGCGCCCCTCTTCCCCTACATTATTTTTGTTCTTTATTTAAGGAGTCAGGAATTCATTTCTGTCGTGTAGAGTATGTCCATTTAACCAGTATGAAGCTTTAATAATAGTATGAGGCTTTAATAATAATATAGTGATTCTTCAAGGATTCTGTTTATTTTTTTCCCAGAATTTTGCACTTTCTCAGTCTTTCTGCTGATGCCTCATATAGGAATTGGGCAAAAAGGTGATGGCAAGGTAATTTCTCACCAGTGTGGTAGAGAAGTTTGTTCCTTCAGAGAAGTGTGCTGACCCCAAAGTCCTTAGCAATGTATCTTTGTAAGCATCATCCTAGTTCCTTTAGTCAGATGTCATACTTATTCTGCCTATGTGAGTCCTGCATGTATTGCTGTGACCACACTGTGCAGTTAGGTATAGCATAACCCTGTGTGCCCTCTGAAAATGCCATGTTCCTGAGCTCAAGCAAGTGTTGTAAACGATTTTTAGACAACTGTTCTTTATTCTCCAATAATGACTTTTTGTAATTTCCTCCTCCCCAAATGACTGGATTATCTTTGAGTATAAAATAATTCTGTGTTTGAATTTACATAGATATATATTTATTTTTATAATTGAATTTTTCACTAGGCAACATTTCCTCAACTTTAAGCATGTGGAGATATTCTGGTTGCTCATTGAATTTTTCTAGCAGAAAATATTGGACAATACTTGCTCCGATAGAAGCTAGAAATTAACAAAATATCATTGGGATAACATCTTAGGAGAGCAATACATTAGCTTAGTCAGTGAGAGTACATTATAGAACTTCCCATCTTGTGCCTCTGGCAGGCCAATGGACACCTTTACTTCTCATTTTCCTACACTTTTACTCTATTCCCACAGGGCAACATGGATAAAGCAGAGATTTCACATGAAAACATTTATTCATTACTCTTGAGATATGACATGAAGGAAATGCCCATCCTCAAGGGCCAGTAGGAATTCTTAATAATTCTCAGAAAGCATTTGTTCCGGGACTCCTGGGTGGCTTAGTCGGTTAAGCGTCTGACTTTCGCTTAGGTTATGATCTCGCGGTTTGTGTGTTCGAGCCCTGCGTCGGACTCTGTGCTGACTGCCAGCTTAGAGACTGGAGCCTGCTTCAGATTCTGTGTCTCCCTCTCTCTGGCCCTCCCCTGTTCACGCTGTCTCTCTCTCTCTCCCAGAAATAAATTTTAAAAAATACATTAAAAATTAAAAAAAAAAAAGCATTTGTTCCTAACATATTGAACTCTCTTTTAGGGATTATGTAATACTCTAACATAAGGTCCTTCTAAGATATTCACTTGGTAAATCTGGACATTTGATGTAGAGGCTGGTCACCATAACTGAATAGGGTTGATAAGTGTGTCTCGGAGTGATGAACTCCACATTGCTCAATTTCTTTCATTTATTGAAGGTACACAGTATCCTATTTTACAAACGTGTGTGTATCAATGATGAGTATAATTGACCTCATTGAAAATTCTGAATAAAATGAGTTATGCAGTTGCATCTTTCAAACTGAGGTCCAGCACAAATAGTCATCATAAACAAAATATGTACAAGGGGAATATCTGTGTTTTCATTTCTGTGGTATGAGCACGAACTGTAATATTCCAAAGCTAAGCTGTTTGCATGCATTGAATTATATACTGGTCTATATATATCCAATTTGGGGGTGAAACTGAATCTTTGAGTGCTTAGCTGGTAGACTAAATACACTCGTAGTAAAGAGACCCTAGAGAACTAACACATGAGTTTTGGGAATCTGAGAAATGGTTGTGCTTACACATGAGCCATTTACATATTTATCTGAGCTGCTTATTTTCTGTGATGACTGGTTCCTTGAGGGCAGTTAGATGGTCAAAATCTAAAGAGATTATGGATTTTTGCTTTTCTTTTCTCTATTATATGAATCAAATATATGGAAATTAAGCAGTAGGAATGCATTTTTCCCCAAGAATACTGATATTCTTTTAAGGAATTATAATGATCCAAATGACAGTAAGATTTTGTCTATGCTAGCCAGCTATTGTTTGCTGGTCTCCCTGACTTCAAAACATGAACATAGTGTCGAATGATTACAAAATCCTTAATGTTTAGTGTCACCTATCTCATGATCATAGTCATTGTTATAAACATGCCTGGATCAATGATAGCATCAATAATTTATCTGTTGGAATATATGGTAACATGAGTGACAGAAGCACCTTTCTGAAATGGAGTTCAAGACATATAAAGGCTATATAATGAAGTTAGTGTTAACCTGAAATTATTATGAATTAAGATATATTTTATAAATTGTAGGATGAGCACTCAGCAATAACTCAAAAATATTAAAAGAAACAGCAAATGATTTAAACAGTATAATATCAAAATACTTGCTTAATACAAAAGAAAGCAGCTAAAAATTAACAGAGGAACCAAAAAGATGTAAGACATATGGAAAACAGAAAAATGACAGAAACAAATCCAACCCTATGACTATTATATTAAATTTAAAAGATAGAAACTGAGATATTCAATTAAAATTAAATATCTATACATTGTGAAAGAAACAATTTAGAACAAAATACAAAAATAGTTTGAAACTAAAATGATGGGTAAAGTTGTACTATGCAAGGAATACCTAAAAAAGAACTGGAATGGCTATTCTGACATCAGAGAAAACAGACTTTAAGGTAAAATGTTATTAGAAATGAAAAAGGATAATATATAATGATAGATGGTTTAATTAAGCAGATACATAGATAGATATATGATTGATAGATCGAAAGATAACTTAATCACCTAACTACAGTGCCTCAAATAACAAAGGAAAAACAGACGTGGTTGAAGGGATAAGTACAGTTCAGTGATAATAACTACACACTTTAGTACTTTCTTCTTAGTAATTGATAGACCAATTAGAGAATCTGTGTGGTTATAGAATACTTGAGCAATGTTATCAATTTGATCCTATATCTATAGATCTATATCTATATCTATATCTATATCTATATGTATATAGAACACTGTATTTAGCAACAACAGAAAACAAATTATTTTCAAACACATCTGGATTATTCTCCAGCAAAGATCGTATGCTAAGTCATAGAACTGGACCTAATGAATTTCAGAGGAATAAAATCATGTAGAGTATTGTCTATGACCATATGGGAATTAAATTAGAAATCAATACAAATAAATCTGGGAAGCCACAAAATATTTTTAAATTAATATACTTCAAAGAACTCATGGCTCAAAGATAAATTCATAAAAAAAACTTTTTTCATAATTGAATGGGATACATATAAAGACATGCTTAGAGGAAAATTTATAATTAAAAAAATTAAGGAGTACCTGGGGGCTCAGTCAGTTGGACTTCAGACTTCAGCTCAGGTCATGATCTCATGGTTCATAAGTTCGAGCCCTGTGATGTGCTCTGTACTGACAGTTCAAAGCCTGGAGCCTATTTTGGATTCTGTGTCTTCTGCTCTCTCTGCCCCTCCCCCACTCACACTCTGAGCCTCTCCTCTCTCTCTCTCAAAAATAAGCAAACATTTAAAAAAATAAGTTTATTCATTTTGAGAGAGACAGTACAAGAAGGTGAGAGGCAGAGAGAGAGAGGGAGAGAGAGATTATTTGAAGCAGGCTCTGTGCCATCAGTGTAGAACCTGGCACAGAGCCTGATTCAGAGCTCAACCTCAAAAAACATGAGATCGTGATAGGAGCCAAAATCAAGTTAGTGGCTTAACCAACTGAGCCACCCAGATGTCCTAGAAAATATATAGTTTTAAATGGCTATCAGAAAAGAGTAAGTACAAGTACATCAAATAAATAACCTAAACTTCCACCTTAAAAATTAGAAAAAGACTAAACTAGAATATTAAGTGAAAGGAAGTAAATAATAAAGATTTGAGCAAAAATTAATGATATAAAAATAAAACCCACAATGACTATGAAGACAACCCATGAGACCAAAAGCAAAGATTAATGAAACTGACAAGCCTTTAGTTACACTGAACAAGAAACAGAGAAGACATAAATCACTAGAGTTAGGAGTGAAACAGGGGCATCACTACTGACTGCCTAGATTCCATTAGAAATTTTAAAAAAATTTAATGTTTTATTTCTTTCTGAGACAGAGAGTGAGACAGCATGAGCAGGGGAGGTTCAGAATGAGAGGGAGACATAGAATCTGAAGCAGGCTCCAGGCTCTGAGCTGTCATCACAGAGTCTGATGCGGGGCTCGAACCCACGAACTGTGAGATCACGACCTGAGCTGAAGTCAGACGCTTAACTGACTGAGACATCCAGGAGCCCCTCCATTAGAAATGTTTTATTTGTCTCATATTATCCTGAGGGCAGATGGATATTGAGAAATCCAAGGTTTTAGTTGCACTTAAGTCTCAGCAACTAACCACTGATGCTTAAATTTTCACTGTCACCAATGGTTATCTCTGCAACGCTTCCAGAAGGTCCCTTAACAATATAATATCACTGATTCAGATTTACCTATATTTCAGCCAATATTTTTTTAGACTAGCCAATAATTTAATCTATTTTAGGAGACCTTTTGTAATCACATCAGATATATACATTAATAATATGGTGAGTCCTCCATGATTTTCATTCCTGTGAATTCTAGAATTTTTGACATTTATATACTTATCCCAAAGCATAAAGGCATCGTTACTTTTTGGGGGCATAAAGATTATATTGGGCCAAAGTGCAGTATGTGGTTGAAAGAACATCCCTGAGCCCTCAGTAGTGTGTCCTGTTGAGTATGTGCATTAGAATAGAATGGAAACTACCCCAAACACATTTCATTGTAAGCTGGAAGACCCTACAGGCTCTCTACCTGTTATTTTTCTTAAATTATTGTACATCATGATTCTCAAAATAGTTGATGCCATACTTCTGAGGTGTAAATTAGTTCTTGGGAATAAAAACAAAAAACTTAAATGTTTGAGTGGTTCATGGCCCTCCAAATAGCCCCCATTCATAAGCAGATATACAGAATATTTGTGATATTATAATTGGGGAGGGAGTGAAAAGTAGGGGAAAATGTCTAAAAAGGATATCCAGGCAGGTGATAATAAAAAAGGTTGAGATACACTGTCATACAAGTCTAAAGAAATTAATATGTTTCTGCCACCTAACTGTGTAACAATCAAGTGTGATAGAAGCCATAGCAGTTAGTACAGTTTGCTAAGAACTCCTCAGTAGTAACAGGCTTTGCAGAGAGAGTGACTTTAGAAGAATGTGTTTCTTTTCCCATTTAGACTCAATATCTTTCTCTTCTATGATACATTTTCCCACCGTAGATCTTAATACTTTTTGAATAACTGTGTCTCTGTGGTTCCTTTGGAGGGAAAGGCTGCTTGTCTTCCATTAGGACTTTCAGAAAACTCCAAAATCCCTATTCACTTATTTACCAACAGAAATTTTCAGGACCAAATTTACTCTTAGACCAGAGAACTATGTATGCAGAATGATATACCGTTACTCTGGCCCCAAGATTTATAAACCTGAGTTCAGCAGGAGCCAAAGTTCTATTGGAAACAAATTATCTAGAGCTACTAACATGTATCTCAATGCATGAAATATGTAGATCTTATTAAAAATATAACATCTTTATCTGTTATTGAAAATTTAGCTAAGATTATTTTGGGGAAAATATGTATGAAAATAGAATTTGAAGCTGCTACATTGTGACAAGTGTTTCTAAACTTGTCAGGAAACAGGAAATAAAATAAAGAAGACAATGGTATTACATCAATATGTGTATATTCTGAAGACAAAAGCATACTGTAAAAATTACGTTTTATGCTTAGTTTTTCTTTATTGTAAAAGTTAAAATTTTAGGGGCGCCTGGGTGGCTTAGTCGGTTAAGCGTCCGACTTTTGCTTAGGTCATGATCTCGCGGTTCGTGGGTTCGAGCCCCGCGTCGGGCTCTGTGCTGACTGCCAGCTCAGAGCCTGGAGCCTGTTACAGTCTGTGACTCCCTCTCTCTGACCCTCCCCTGCTCACGCTGTCTCTCTCTCTCCTAGAAATAAATAAAACATTAAAAAATTTTTTAAAGTTAAAATTTTATACCTTTATAGCAATCTAGTATTTCAAGATATTTTCATGGTTGACATGATAAAAAAAAAAAAAAAGAAAACCTAAATACATTTGATTAACTTTGTGATAATGGTGTTTGGCAGATGACTTCAGAAAGACATGGTTAGGACATTGCTTTAGGATACACACAATTCTATATTTATTTTATTTTTTTAATGAGTAATCAGCAAATTTGAGATCACTAAATCTAATGTAAGTCATTGGTCTGGGCATTTTTGGGGATATTCCGAATACAGTAATGAAATGTGCTCTTTATTTTATCACATCTACACTTTATTAAAGTTGTTTAAAACTGATGACACACAGTGTGTTCTTTCTTCAAAATCATAGATAAAAATATTGTATTTATAAATACTTTTGGATGAAAAATAGTACATTTATGATTCTTGCACAGGAATGTATCCTTTCACACTATTATTGCTTTGGGGTAAATATTAGACTGTTGTTATAAAAGAGAAATTAAGTTTAAGTTTAATCCAATCTTTCCAAATATTTAGATGTTATTAACATGCATTTTTTCTTTTAAAGATGGTCTTGTGAAAATTCATAAGCTAGAAACAATTATCTGTTGCCGATGGAACTGTGGGAGCTTCTTTTGTACTTCACAAGATGGTAATAGAAAAACCATGTTTTTATTAATCTATATATAATAGTAAAAATGTTTTATAACATTTAGCATTAATAGAAAAGAGCATTCTATTAAAAATAATAGCCAGCCTTTTTTTTGGTCTATTGGATGCCAAGATGTAGGGAGAGCAATAGATGTTCGAGGATTGTGCATGTGACACACAAGAAATTAGCCACATCCACTCCTTCCACTCTGTATAGCACAATTTTGAATGTTTTATTGTTAAATTATATTACATGTACACGTATTTGTATAAGATTTAAAAACATGTATAGTTTATATGTGCATGTAGGTAAAGTTTATATTTCTATCTGCATATTTTTTCTCAAAATGTTATTTTTCCTCTTGTTTTCCCTTGCCAGGTAATGATCGGGCCTAAAAGGGAGGAGAAATTGTCTATGGTTTTGCCTTTCTTGAATGCCATCTCCAGAGAGTAAGATGACAACTAAATTTTAAGTCAGTGGTCCTCCATTCCTACCTGTGGTATTTTGGACACACTTGCAGGTATGACTATATTATCAGGGAACTGCATGTTTATTGGAACAAAGCCCAAGATGGATAGGATATGATCGATCATGTTCTTCTTTAGCTTGATGACACTGCTTGTAGCTGAATATTAAAAGCTCATCCAAGATCCAGGTAATAGTGGGCATTACAGTACCTAGTAATTACAGCTGTGGGTAATAACAGGTCTCCCTAAATGGGGACTTTCTCAACAACCCAGTCCTAAAACTAAACCTACCTCTAGAAACCATTTACTAAGTTACTTCTCAGGTCTTTATTTCTATTTCTATGCTTGAATCATCATATGGGCTTTTAATTTCTTATGGCCTGACATTTTCTGTTTCTTTTTATGTACAACTACTTATGGATTACCAGGCATGGAATATGTTCTCAATAAACTTTTACTGAGATACATAAATATATTATATTGAGTGATTTTGTAAGTAGCCTGGCCAAACAAGCAGAAAATGATAAATGATGGGGGGGGGAAGAGACATAATTTTTAGTGGGATTTAGGCAATCCAGTCAATTTTGGAAATGCACAAGAAATAAGGGCTTTGATACAATATGCTGATATTGAAATATATAGAGTTATGGTACAACTAGCTATAGTTTCAGAGTTTTATGTGAGTAACAAGTGGCTTCCAAATGAAATCAATATGAAATAGTACCAAAGAATAACTTCCCAGCATCCAGCTGAATTACATTTTTCATTGGAAGTGTCATTTCTTGTTTTTTTTTTTTCCCCTTCAAGAGATCACTTCTTGGGAACTCATTTGGGAGTCAGTGATACCAGTAAATCCTTGAAATAAGACTCCAAACAAAGGGACTGTTGTCCAAGTGCTACCTTGTGAAGGTAAGTTTTTTGTTTTTTGTTTTTTGTTTTCCAGAATAGTCCTTGCTTTCTAAAAGAAAGCATGTCTGGGCAGAAAATTAGATGTTAATTTTCTGAAGATTGATAACTTCTGGTTATATTCTAATTAAATTCAAAGGCCAGAATACATAGTGAGATAAGAGATACAGCTTTTCTTATATACGTTCATAGATTTTCTACATTTCAGTTAGTATGGTTATGGTTAATAATAATGATTTCCTTAACTTTTCTTATTCAAAAACTAAGTTCCTGATTGGCTATATCCATTGTGTTAACAGAGCATCATTTGCAAGAGATTCAGTGGTTTTCAACAACTATTAGACTGGAGGGAAGACAACTATTTTTGTCTGAAAATATTGATGAAATGAATGAGTGACCTAGAACTTTAAGGAGCCAATACATAGGGAAAGAGATAAAAATATGAAATAGTTGGAAAGTGCCTATCACTTTTCAGCCCAGCAAGGAAGCAAAAGTAGTACTGATGTTAGATTTAAGAAGATTTAAAGTAATTTTTCTGGCCAGTTTGGACCCAGCAGCTGAAAATGTGGCTTTCTTTGTGTCCCCTGGGTGGATTCACTCCAGGACATGTAGAGGTAGAGTGTTTAAGAATTTCATAGTCCCCAACAGGTTCCTAAGAAAATGTGTCCCACAGCTTTGCCAATTCTCCCTGCTGTATCCTTGCAGGTGATGACTACAAATGAGAGGTGGATTTATTACTGAGGGTGCCATTACTTCTACCACAAACTTCACCAAAACAATGATACAGTCTTCTTTATGCTTGGAGAATCATCTCTTTCCTGTGTTGCAGTGGACACCTCCTGCAGATAAGAAATGCTTAACTGAGAAATGCTCATGTTGGGATATCATCGATGAGACTTTAATTTGGGCATGGTGACTGTTTCCCTTGCTGCCACTTGACTCAATCCCAGGAGCCTCAGTAGAGGAAATATTATTGCACAAGAAACTCAAAATGATGGAATTTCTCAGTGCTCCCATAAATATACATTTATAATTTCCATTTGCCGTATGGTAAATTTTAAATATTGGATATATTTTTTAAAAACTTTACACAATTTTTTCAAAACTTCAAGGCATATCTAAATATTAAATATATAAAAATTAAGTTCCCTCTTCTCTCCCAATTTTACCCTCCCCCCAAGTTGTCTTCTATTAAGAGAGCTGTGTGCATTCATTAAGTGTTTAGATGCACACATACAGTAGATACACACAAACTATTTTTGAGGGATTCTGGAAGTGGGGCCATATCGTACACACTCTTCTGCAAATTGTCTTTCATTTAACAGTTTTTAATATTCTTTTCTATTTCAGTAATACACATCTGTGTCATTTGTTGAATGATTGCACTACTGTTTTGTAGATGAAATAGAATTAAATGTTACAAGTATTTCTCATTCATACATATTTATGTTAGCACCAAATTTCTGTGCAATGAAACTCCCTATCAATAATTCTGCACTTGTCTATTACACTATAATGAATTACTTAGCACTTGAAATACTGGGATTAAGGATATGCACATTTAAAATTATTACAAGATATCCTTAAAATGTGGTAACAACTTTTCCTAAAATGGCAATCAATGAATTTGCCAGCTTTCCCACAATTTCACAGATAATGGATTTTATAAATATTTAATTTTTTGCCAATGTAATAGCCCAAACTATTGTCTTAAATTGTATTTTTTTTGTTTTTAAGTTTGATCATTTTTTTCATATGTTTATTAGCCATCTGTATTCTTTAATTTCCTCTTTATGTCCAATTTTAGGGGTGGGGTTTAGATTTCTGGTTTTGAAGAGCTCATTTATTCTTGGGGGAATAAGCTTTGGATTGTGAAGCATTATAGATATTTTTATGAACTTTTATACTTCTTTTTTGTTAAAAGAATGCGTATGATTGTTATATGTCCAAGTATAACCATGTTTGCTTTTATGGCTTCTGAGATTCATGTCATTTTGGAAAAAATATTTATACTGATTTCATAAAACCGTTCACCTATGTTAACTTCTTATTCTTTTGTGTTTCTTTTATTCAAATTATTAAATCATGAGAAATTTTTTTGATTTGAAATCTTAAAGTTGCCAAGTTATTTGCCATTACTTGCGATTATTTGCCAATAATTGCCCATTTATCTGTAATGCCATCTTGCACATATGCTGTATTTCATCTGTGACTGGCACCATTTTTGTTCTGTGGATATGTGTGTCTCTTCTTCTGCCTCCTGTCTCATGTCTCTTCTTGTTGGAAGAAATTACAGTTTTGACTGCAATTTCATCAACTTTAATAAATTAATTTAGGGGGAATTGGTTTTTAATAATATAAGTCTTCCTATCCAAGGACAAGGTATGTCTTTCTTTTTATTCTACAATTTTAATTACTGTTAACATTTTCACTTTGTATTGGGGGTTTTCTTTCAGTTTATTTTCTTGATATTTTTTTCTATACCTGAAAATTTTGTTTTGGGGGGTAAATGGTCACCTTACTCTTCTCATGACTTTTCAGATTTTCTCAAAGGACATACCAAATCCTTTGCAAATACATATCATTTTTATTCTCTCCTTCCAAATGATCTTGATTTAATTATGTTGATAATGTTCACTGACTGGCACTTTCAGAGCATTTAAAGAAATGTGGAGCTATTACCCACACTTGATTTAATTAGTTTTTAATGTAAAGTTTATTGGGTTTGACCAGAACATTGTTCCTGGTGTATTAATCAAAAAGACTCCAAGAAAGAACTATCATCCAGAAAAGATGAGTGAGTTAAACTTACTAAAGCAAGGGAAAACACCACTTTGACAATATTTAGTAGTGTTTCAAAATAGGCTTTAGGATCTGGGCTGATATGGTTTGAGGTGGGCTTTTCAAAAAATGGAAATGGTTATGAATGCACAAAATTTGGCATACAATAGTTTAAGGTTGGTAAAAGAGTAATATGAAGTCCTTGATGTGAGTCTAGGTAATCAAATTTTTGTCTGATAAATGAGTTATATTTGCTTAAATGAGTAAGATATTTCAATAATACAAGAGCTATAACTTAGCTAAGAAAACTGTCTATTTATTTATTGGTTTGCAGTTCTATCCTGTGTATAGGATTCTGCTAGGGGTGGTATCAGGTCCTAATCCTAATTGGTAAGTTATTTTTATTTAGGTGACTTCAATCATTAATGCAATATGTGAATTTTAAATTTGAGATATTTTTCTATATCATATAGGTAAGTTTCCTATCTTTTATATATTTCTAAGAAATTTAATGAAAACCGGGTAGTAGATGTAATAAATGTTTTTTGCTAAACAGTTGTATTATTCTTCAATTAAACTTTTATTATTGTAAAATAATTCTATTATTGACATTTTATTTTATTCCTTGAATTAACAATTTGGTAAAAATGTTTTGGAAAAAATGTTTTGCTCCAAATTTACGAAATTATGAATATCTTAATTTGATTTGGATTTTTGCAAGTATACTATTAATGAAGTTGATCTATAATTTTCTGTCTATTTTTGTCATAGTCTGATATCAGATTTTCTGGGTGTGTTAAATTAATTTTGAGGATATTCTGTGTTCAGATAGAATGGATTGAAAACCTTTAACATTATAAGAATGGCTAAGGGAAAACATCAATTAAATAATCTGAACGATCCTTTATTTTGGTGGTTTGAAGAACTGAGGCTATCTAGATAATTTTCTCATTTTTTTCTGTAGTGACTGTTTTTTGTTTTGTTTTGTTTTGTTTTTCATCTTATATTTAACTTATTCTATCCTAGAAAATCACAATCCAAGCAAATTTTCCAGCACAGTAACATGAAGTTACACAAAGAGTTCTTTCATCACTCTCTTAATTTTCAGTTCAATTGATATCTATTTTCATTCCAGTTTTGTTAGTTCTGGTATGCCTTTTTTAAATAAAGTAAGTTGGACTCATGGGTTTTTAGCATCATTAGTTGCTCCTTTTCCTTTCCCCCAATCAGCTTTTTGGTACAATTTATCAATGTGTGTGTGGGTTTTTTTTAAACTGTTTTAATTTATTTATATATATATTTGTATTTCTTTGTGTTTTCTAAGTAAATTCTTAAACATGTATATCCACTTATTTTCACTTATTTTTGTATAATGAAATATTTGTTCTATTGTGAATTTTATAAAACTTATCACTCTGAACACAGGATAAACATTCAGAGTATAAGGAGAAAAGAACAACAAACTTACACCAGGAACATAGGTTCCACCATTATCAACAGTTTGCCAAAGTCACTTCATCTTAATCACATACCCATATAATTAGTACTTTATTCAGGAGGTAGAATTTTTTTTATTACTTGAGAAGCTCCCTTATTTCTTCCTTCCATCCACACCTAATTCTCATAGGAAACAATGTTTTTATTTCCACTGTAATACATTATTTTTATCTGTCCTTGAAATTAATATAAATGGAATCACACAGTATGTGTCTAGCTCCATTGACTCATTATAATCATATTTGAATTCATCCATGTTATTCCCTATATCAGTAGACGTTTAAATTTTTCTTTCTAATTGCAGACAGATCATTGAATGGACTTATTACAATTTACATACCTATTCTCCTGTTGATGGTCATTTTTTGTTTTTTTTTTCCTAGTTATTAGCTATTTTGAATATGTTAACAGATCTCTTATGTAATTGCCTAAAAATGGAATGTGATTGATTATAAGATAGATTTTGATTGATTTAATAAGGAACTGCCAAAATGTATATTAAATATTTGGAACCATTTCAGACTCTCACACAATGTCGTATGATATTTTCAGCCAATATCCGTCATTATTAACATTGGACATTCTAATTCTTTTAAGTTTTACCTATTTCGGGGGCTGTGAGGTGGTATCTTATTGTGACTTCAATTTTAAATTTGGTCACTTAAAAAGATAAATAATTTTTCATGAAGTTAGCTGCCAGGCATAAATATTTTTGGTAAAATTTCTGTATATTTCCAAATGTAATTGTTTACTTATATTTTAGTTAATTAACATACATTGCAATATTGGTTTCAGAAGTAGAATTCAGTGATTCATCACTTACATACAACACTCAGTGTTCATCACAAGTTCCCTCCTTAATACCCATCACCCATCTAACCCTTCTCACATCCACATCCTTCTATCAACCCTCAGTTTGTTCTCTATCATTAATCATCATTGTGGTTTGTTTCCCTCTCTTTTATTCCCCCCTTCCCATATGTTCCTCTGTTTTATTTCTCAAATTCAACATATGACTGAAATCATATGGTATTATTTTTTCTCTGATTGATTTATTTCACTTAGCATAATATACTCTAGCTCCATCCACGTCATTGCTCATGGCAAGATTTCACTCTTTTTGATGGTTGAGTAATATTCCATATTACTAAAGATATATATATATATATATATATATATATATATATATATATATATCTTAACCATTATCAGTCGATGGACATTTGGGATCTCTCCATAGTTAGGCTATTGTTGATAATTCTACTATAAACATTGTGGGGTGTGTACACCTTGGAATCTGTATTTTTGTATCCTTTCGGTAGATACCTAATTGTGCAATTGTTGGATCATAGGTTAGTTCTATATTTAGGTTTTTGAGGAATCTCCATACTAATCTCCAGAGTGGTCACAACAATTCACTTCCTACAGACATTGCAAAAGGGTTCCCCTTTCTCTGCATTCTATACAACAGTCATTGTTTCTTGTGTTGTTGATTTTAGCTATACTGACAGGTGTGTGGTAATATCTCATTGTGGTTTTTATTTGTATTTCCCTGATGATGAGTGATACTGAGTCTCTTTTCATGTGTCTGTTAGTCATTTGAATGGCTTCTATGGAAAAGCGTCTACTCATGTCTTCTGCCTATTTCCTTCCTGGATTATTTGGTTTTTTGGTTGTTGAGTTTAATAAGCTCTTTTTTAAAAATGTTTTAATAT